CCGCCATAATGGGTTGCGCTTTCCATATGTCAGCGGGTGCAAAGTAAACCCTTCCGGTTGTTTAACTGGAAATGAATAGCGCCTTCTTGGGGGTTTAGTGCATGTTTCATTAAATGGTATTTGTGTCGAGGTATCGTAAGTTGGGTATTTACTCTATTAGTTGCAGCTCGCACAAAATGATAATTGACAGAGAGCGTTTTGCTGCTAATTCCCGCCAAAGCGGACACCTGTTTTGTGTTTGGAAAGCCGATGGGGATCCCTTCGGAAGATTTATTTCGGTTTCTGTTTTCAAGTGCGCCATTTGGCCTTTAATTGAATTCATCGGTTGATTCCACCATCATGGAACGTAAAATGGTTTAGGTGAACGATTATCTGCTTATTTTACGCCGTTGAAGTTTTCAGTAGGAGTATGAGCTCAAAACGGTTAATATTTTATTAATTTGAGCTTTCTATCGCTTCTTAACCGAATTCTGAACGTACTCATTTCTAATTATTCAATTTCAATTTGTCTCAACTTCACATCAACTAGTCAAATAATATCCCAAAAATCAGGAACAAGTGCACAACTAAGTAGCTTTCTTGATACTTTCTTTTTTTGAGCTCTTATGGTTATTTTTCAACGAAAATGAACAATTAGAGAAAGATCCAGATTTCTAAGCTTCTTGGTGCATAAAATTTAACCAGGACTAGCGTAATAACACTATTTGAAATTTTTGGCGGTATTCTACCAAATAAGATTTAAAATTACATACAGTTTTCCTTTTCGAAACAAATTATCCGAATAAGGTTCCTACATCCAAATCATTCATTAAACTACTTGTGTAACCACAGATACTGGATGAACCGTGATGTACACACAAACTTAGTCCTACCGCTTTCTTTCTCCTATGCAATTGCGGCAAAGTTTATCCTTATACTTCGCAAAACGTATCCCTCATTTAACTCCAAATGCTTGCATTAACGCTTTCTTCGAAAACATAGCAAACGAAAACCAAAACAGCCTTCACACTCGAGCTTAGAGACAGTTTACAACTTAAAACGTAGTTGGCCACGAAGTGGGCAAACTTGACTCCATTTCCTCTTGTAAATAACGCCTTCGAAACGGGGCGAGAGCTTTTACAACCGAACTATAAACTGGGCTTGAAGGTGCACAAAAAACTGCTTCTAATGGTCAGTAGTGCAGCTTCGAACTTGGAACGAAAAAACTTCTTCCAACGGACCGCAACGTCGCTTCAAATACAAACAACAAGCGTCTCCCGTATTTAAACGGAAATCACACTTAAATTTCGAAAAACTTTTTTAACCAATAAACACTGCATAGAATCGGTGATAGCCAATAAAGTATTTTATCAGTTTCTACCTATTTCTTTTAAAGATCAATATAGCCCAGCTATCTCAAACAATTACATTTATTTTTCAGAAATAAACGAAAATCTTAATAAATCACACCGAAACTGTAACATTTGCCTTGGTAAACAAATAAAATTGAGTTACAAAATCTAAAGCTAAATTAATAAGAAAAAATGTTTTCCCGAACATTTTTGTGATAGTCGATTTTGGGTGAAGATGGAAAGGCTATACACTTGCCTATACTTTGGGACGGAAAAATGAATTGTTAAAAACGACCGGGAAAAATCATTTCCTTATAGATTTTCGCCTGCAGAATCTATTACCTCAACCAGGGCTACTAAATCAAAAGTTACAGACATTGAATTTTTGACTATAACCTTTGATTCAGAGGTACAATCGACTAAATACGAGACTTTTTTTGGAATCTACGAAGCTAAATTAATAAGAAAAGTGTTTTCCCGAACATTTTTTGGGGTAGTCGATTTTCGGTGAAAGTGCAAAGGCTATACACTTGCCTGTATTTTGGGTGGGAAAATGAATTGTCTGAAATCGACCTGGAAAAAAAAACATTTTCTTATAGATTTTAGCTTGTAGAATGTATAACTTCAAACAGTTTGAAGTTTGGACTACTAGATCAACAGTTACAGGCCCTTGAATTTTTTTCAAAATTGAATTTTTGCCTATAACCTTTGATTCAGAGATCCAATCGACTAAATACCAGACGTTTTGGAATCTATGATGCTAAATTAATAAGAAAAGTGTTTTCCCGGGCATTTTTGGGGTAGTCGATTTTCGAATGAATATGCAAAGGCACACTTACCTATATTTTGGGTCGGAAAAATGAATTGTCTGAAATCGACCTGGAAAAAACATTATAGATTTTAGCTTGTAGAATGTATAGCTTCAAACAGTTTGAAAATTGGACTACTATATCAAAAGTTAAATCCCTTGAATTTTTTTTCAAAATTGAATTTTTGACTATAACCTTTGATTCAGAGGTCCAATCGACTAAATACGAGACGTTTTGGAATCTACGAAGCTAAATGAATAAGAAAAGTGTTTTCCCGGACATTTTTTAAGGTAGGCGATTTTCGGTGAAAATGCAAAGGCAAACTTGCCTGTATTTTGTGTGGGAAAATGAATTTTCTGAAATCGTCCTGGAAAAAAAACATTTTCTTATAGATTTTAGCTTGTAGAATGTATAACTTCAAACAGTTTAATAATTGAGTTACTATATCAAAAGTTAAAGCCCTTGATTTTTTTTTCAAAATTGAATTTTTGACTATAACCTTTGATTCAGAGGTCCAATCGGCTAAATACCAGACGTTTTGGAATCTATGAAGCTAAATTAATAATAAAAGTGTTTTCCCGGACATTTTTTAAGGTAGTCGATTTTCGGTGAAAATGCAAAGGCCTTTATTTTGTGTGGGAAAATGAATTTTCTGAAATCGTCCTGGAAAAAAAACATTTTCTTATAGATTTTAGCTTGTAGAATGTATAACTTCAAACAGTTTAAAAATTGAGTTACTATATCAAAAGTTAAAGCCCTTGATTTTTTTTTCAAAATTGAATTTTTGACTATAACCTTTGATTCAGAGATCCAATCGACTAAATACCAGACGTTTTGGAATCTATGATGCTAAATTAATAAGAAAAGTGTTTTCCCGGGCATTTTTGGGGTAGTCGATTTTCGAATGAATATGCAAAGGCACACTTACCTATATTTTGGGTCGGAAAAATGAATTGTCTGAAATCGACCTGGAAAAAACATTATAGATTTTAGCTTGTAGAATGTATAGCTTCAAACAGTTTGAAAATTGGACTACTATATCAAAAGTTAAAGCCCTTGAATTTTTTTTCAAAATTGAATTTTTGACTATAACCTTTGATTCAGAGGTCCAATCGACTAAATACGAGACGTTTTGGAATCTACGAAGCTAAATGAATAAGAAAAGTGTTTTCCCGGACATTTTTTAAGGTAGGCGATTTTCGGTGAAAATGCAAAGGCAAACTTGCCTGTATTTTGTGTGGGAAAATGAATTTTCTGAAATCGTCCTGGAAAAAAAAACATTTTCTTATAGATTTTAGCTTGTAGAATGTATAACTTCAAACAGTTTAAAAATTGAGTTACTATATCAAAAGTTAAAGCCCTTGATTTTTTTTTCAAAATTGAATTTTTGACTATAACCTTTGATTCAGAGGTCCAATCGGCTAAATACCAGACGTTTTGGAATCTATGAAGCTAAATTAATAAGAAAAGTGTTTTCCCGGACATTTTTTAAGGTAGTCGATTTTCGGTAAAAAGGCAAAGTCTATACACTTGCCTATACTTTGGGTCAGAAAAATGAATTGTTAAAAACGACCTAGAAAAATCATTTCCTTATAGATTTTCGCCTGCAGAATCTATTACCTCAACCAGTTGGAAGATTGGGCTACTAAATCAAAAGTTACAGCCCTTGAATTTTTTTTCAAAATTGAATTTTTGACTATAACCTTTGATTCAGAGGTCGAATCGACTAAATACGAGACGTTTTGGAATCTACGAAGCTAAATTAATAAGAAAAGTGTTTTCCCGGACATTTTTTGGGGATTTTGGATGGATGGATTTTCTTGATCTTCCGCCTTTGACCACCTTGATGGCAATTAAATACAGAAAATGAAAATATTGAAGTATACCAAAATTTATATCAACTACCTTCCACCTTTCTTTACAGTTTAAATTTCTAGAAACTTCAATTTTTTAATTGAAAAGAAGTCTTTTATAGATGCACGAATACATCTCTTTGTCTTTGTCATCCCCGTTCTTAGATCCAAAATAAATCACAATCTCGTTTAATCCTTATCCAGAATTGTGCAAGAACACGTTGCCTAAAGACACATTTCCACACCCCACAATTAAGACTTGTTTAGTTACCTAGTTAAATTAAATCCAGATAGTTTTCCAAAATAATACGCATGATATGAATTCAACAGACATATAACATAGAAACAGTTTGGGAAATATGAACGTTACGTCGTAAACACGCTTTGAAGTATTTCCGATGTAACATGTCGTTCATTGACAGTTCTCAAGTTTAATCCGTAGACAAGCACCGAAAGCATTATAATCTCGGGAAAATAGAATGAATTCACTTTCTATCAAGTTTCCACTCGCTCATCCTTCGTCTCGAATAAATTTATATGGCGCTTCCATGATTTTCGTGCGTTTCCTTAAAAATTTAGTATCAGAAATTATACAATCGCCAAATTCTCGTGAGGTAATGTTCATAGTATTATTTTATAGCAGATTTTAAAGTGACATTTCAATAGGTTTGAATGAGTAAGTTCTCTCTTTAGCAATAAGACTGGTTATAGGGATCTCTTTAGATAAAGTGAAACAAATTCTAACGTCATGTAATTCTTATTAAAAATGGGACGCGTAGCACGAAATAAAATGAAGTTCAGAACAGAGAACCATACTGTTTCCATGAAAATGACAGAAAAAGAGTTTGCTAATTTTGACGTCTAGTTTCATAATGGTTTCTACTGTAAAATAAAGTTTTATACTATACACAATGATGAAAGAAAACCAACCATCTCGTCAAAAGACAATGGTTCCTTTACCGTCTTGTATCACATCTTTCATAGTGATTCTAAGTGTATGATTTGTTGCAGCCCCTTTGTCGAATAATCTCACCGAGGACGTCCTGGACAACTACTACCTGCAACCGGAGGTGCCCGCGTCGACCTCGCTTCCAAGCTTCGCAAGCGGCGAAACGACGCACGCCAGAAAAGAGGTGACGCCAGCGACGAGTCCGACGAGCAGTACCCAAGCCTACATAGGCCTCATCACCGGGGTGCTCGCCATGATCGTGCTACTATTAGCCTGCACCGTTTTCCTCATGATAAGAAGGGGAAGGAAGAAGGTCGCGCTGTTACACAAACACACGGCGCTGGTGTCGAGCAGCACGAAGCCCGGGGTGACGATAAACATGAAGGACCTGAAGAACATGTCGACGCCCATCATTAATAACGGACTGTCGCGCTCCAGGCTTTCGGTGAAGAGTAAATCGAACGCGCTCGGTGGCACCGAATCGAAGAAGAACAAGAAGAGTAACCTGTACGGTCACGTGACTGGGGGCGAGGAGTCGGACAGTGAAAACTCGTCGGTTTACCACGAACCGTACAAGCTACTCCCGAACGCCAATCAGGAGTACGGCTGCCTGTTGAAGAAGGACCAAATAGCATCTAGTAAAAGTGGGGAGTATACAGGTAAGGTACTTTCTTAATCTAACGTTTAGAATGTGGAAGCCCTAACCCCAACGTTTCTAGTCCTTCCACATTCCAGCTTCCCAAAACAAACGAGTCTTCTTTGTCTTTTCACATTTTGCTTTTTCTACAAGTTCCAATCAGTTTTCAAGGTTTCAATTTTTTCAAATGGGCATCGTCCTTTAATGATAAAACAACTAGTTATCTTAATAGATATTAAAAAAATTAAATTTCGAGACCCATTTCATAATAGTATTTCTTTCAAATGTTCAGGAGCCATGAAAATATCAGTACATGTGCCAAATTCTACTGAAAACAAAATCATTAAATATATTTCTACCCACCCCACATGAAACACATAAAAACCTCCGATCCATCGTATCAACGAACATCGTAAGTGATTTTTGAAATCACCTTCATAAAATCTCCCAAAGTCTCGACACTATCTAACCACCACATAAATGAATCCCGAAGGAAAGTCACCCACACCTATGGAAATTTCTCCTTTACCTTAAAATTTACTCAAAAAACCTGAATTTGCTCATTTAGTAGTAAAAGTCGGAGTTTTCATACATTATTGTTGAAATTCAAAATTGTTAGTATACAGTAGCTTAATATAATCACCTGCTACGAGATAAGTCGTCAATTTTGCTAACTTCGAAGGTTAAAATCAGACTTTAATTTTGGGTTCCAAGATGGCCTCGTTCAATAATATAAAAGCCAAAATTATGCGATTTCGACTAAGGATATCGATGTGGATAGTAATCAGATATCAAGTAGATATTAAAGAAGAAAAGAGTAAACCAGAAGTAAAAATCATTAATAAAAGTCAAGGTTAATACGCATTTGTTGGTACTTACTGCACACGACCTTAAAACTTGCAAATATATCCGCAAAAGCGCGCCATTGAAATGCCCAACGTAAATCACAAGAGAAAAACCTCACAAAAATATTATACAGCTATTAAATCCCTAATAAAGGCATGGAAGATCAAAGAAAAATGGTGTGCATCTTCTTTTGCAAGTAATGATCGAATCTGGTCTGTAGAGGGAATGGATGCAGTAATGCGCACACAGTAAAAAAAAGATTACAGAAATTTCATCTGTACGACCTCTAGCGGCGAAATTAAAGAACTATTGTAAATTAAACCTATGCTACATCTAACTACATCTAAACTAAACGGGATTGCAGGGGAAATACATAGATGGCGTAAGACGTTTGAGTTTAAATGCTTAAAAGTTCGAGTTCGAATGTTAAATATTCGGAATTTCATAGAACATCGAATTTAAAATTCGAGTCAGAGTGTTTGAAATATCGATGATTTTGGGATAAGATCGGAATTTCATAGTGAGCTGTCAGAAAATCCAAAACTTTCAAATAAAAAGGTGTCAAAATGTCCAGGCCGAATAATCGAAGTAAAGTCGGAATTTCGAAACGAAAGCCTTACATTGGTAGTTAGAATTTTTGGGATTGAACTAAACAGATGGTCTGTCCATAAAATAATATATTATACAGTTCCAACTGTTCGAAATAAATTTGATATTAACATGGCTTAGTAACCCGGCGGTAACCTTCGAAAGTAGACCAAGGTTATGCTCAAGGGCATTCGGTTGCAAGGTTAGCAGAGATCAATTGTTTGTGTTGTCATGTTTCATTTTCAAGGTTATCAAAGGCCAACGACCCCATTTTTGTGGTGCCACATGAGTCAAGTTGAAATTCAAAGGTCGTTCGGCACTTGATGGTGACCTTGGAAAGCCGGTCAGGTGAAGCTGTGGTCCGTTTCGTCATTCACCCCAAATAATTTTCCCCTCTAGGGTACTGCGTGGTATCGTATGGGTGGCACTCCCTAGGTACAGACGTTTTCAGGTTTCAGCAACAGCTGTCTGTGTGACTTGACAGTCGCGGTATGACTGTCGGGACCGCCAGCTTCACATGCCCTCCAAAGAATGGTAGTCAGGAGATGTTTTGTACCACTAAAAACTGGAAAATTGTGGGAGTCGAACTCACAACTTGTGAGATTAGAATCAGAGGCTTAAACCGCTACCCCAAACTGACGTGACCCCTAAACTTTCCGCTCTCTCCCAGACGTGCGAAGTCGATCAAGACATCCTTCGGCCGGGCAGGAAAACTTTCAATATTCGCCCTTCAAATGATACCTTGAACAGTTATGTAGTTTGCACTTTGAACTTTACTCAGCGATTATAAAGCCATCGCGTTCATGCGTAAATAATAATTTGCGATCGACTATGAGGACATTCTAAACCAACTCCATGTATCAAAATCCAAGACTTGCTCACCGTTCAAAGTCCAAAGGTTGGTCAACATTCAAAGTCCATAGTTTGTTACGTTCACACAGTAAGCTCAGGCGAAGTAGGGGTGGGTCGGGGTGAATAATGGGGTATCCATATACTAGCTGAAACAACAAAAAAAAAAGAAAATATAGTTAATCGGATAGACGTCATTTAGACTTTAGTAAATTTAAAAAGAGAAAACACAGTACTTACCAAAAGAGGAACAAGGTAGACTTCCTTGTTCTGGTTTTGATACGCTAAAAAAATTGACAGGGTAGAACATAAACAATAATTGTGGCCACAATCGAGGGTGATTTAATAAATGATATCAAAATATTACAAATAGGACACTATAATATCTAGATCTGAAATGTCAACGTTTAAAGTTAACCCAATTTTTAGCAAAAAAGGGATCATTTCGTAGTCAGTGAAATTATCAACGTCAAAGCGGGCTTCCGCAGAAAACAGAACAGAACATATGTACTCAAACGTCAAAAGTTATATCAAGGATTCGTCGAAAATAAAAATATTACTTTTGAACCACAGAGCGCAACTTTTTCGGGCTCAGAAACAGTGCTTTCTGCCTGCTGTTACAGGTAAAACGTAAACAAAAAAAACACGAGAGATAGTGAGTAGTGCGGCACATAAATATTGCGATATTTGAATTTCAAGGTGTAAATCTTTCGAAGTATGACTACTTTTACATAAGCTGGCAATAATGTAAAATCCAAAATTATGAGGTGTCCACTCAGAATATCGACATAATCAGATATCAGATGGATATTAATGAAGAACAGAATAAGCCAGGAGTAAAATGCCTAAAAATAATTACTAAAGTCAAGGTTAACATGCATTTGTTGGCACATACCGTAAACAGCCTTAAAACTTATAAATATATCCGCAAAAGTGCGCCAGTAAAATGTGTAAAACAAATCACAAGATAAAAACTTCACCAAAATATCGTATCTTCTTTGCAAGTAATGATGGAATTTGGTCTGTAGAGGGAATGGATGCAGTATTCCGCACGCAGAAAAGAAAAGATCACGAAAATTACATATGCACGACCTCTAGAGGAGAAAATAAAGAACTATGGTAAATGAAACCTATAATACTCAAGTAACTATACATCTTAACTAAATGGGATTACAGAGAAAATGCATAGATGGCGTAAGAAGTCTGAGCTTAAGCCCAATATTTGTATAAAAATCGAAATTTTATAGTACACCGAGTTTTTTAGGTCAGTTACTCACAAATTCACAGATGAAGTCGCAAATAAGCTGGGTTATATTACAGTTAACACTTGGTTGAGTTAAGGACTGTCAATTTGTTTAAGATTTGCGGTTGCGGTCCGTATTGAAATAAGGGTAAGTCCGTTGGATCTATGGACAATGTACTCCACAACATCATTAGAGATATACAAAAGGAGCATCATAATATGCAAACTTGAAGACGAATTCACGATTTCATTCTCGCTGTCTGGGTGCTTCAAGTAATCCGCGGCTTAAATTAAATTTATATGTCACGGGTGTACATAAACAACCCCTCGACAAACGCAAGAACTGGCAAATGCTCTTAAATGTATGAATGGGAATTAAGAACTGTCATCAATTTTAAATGTTAACTTCTCTACCGTTGAAGCGTTTCCGACGCTTAAATTATTATATGACGCCCTCGCGTGCGCGAATTGTATCTCATCTCGTTTTTCTACTGTTACAGATTTCACGAGCGTCAATAGTTTCCAAGAGGAATTGAAATACACGTCTCCCTCGTTCTACAATCTGACGCCGCCGCCGCCGCCGGCGTCGCGTCCCCCAACGTACGACGTACAGAATTTCCAAACGCCCACGAAAACACCGAACGGAACAATTGCAACGGAAAACTATTACGCCGCCACCGATATTGTAAAGGTAGGAAGACGTGCTTTAAATGCAGACACCACCGCCGCAAATGGATTGCTTGCCATTACCGATATTACTTTTCATGCGCAAAATTTATCGCCCATGTTAATTTTTGTACAATAATACTGTGACGTAACTTTTGATTGTGATAAACGACGCGTTTCCCGCGCGCCAGCTTTTTAATATGGATTAATTTCACGACGTTATACAGAAGGAAAAAAAATAATAATCTCTTCGCGGCCGTTTATCTTCCATCTGCTCCTTGTCTTTTATGTAACAGAAGAAACTTGTTGCTCCTCTGGATTCAGGCCATTAAACGCGGCATTATGATTCCTATTCAAGGCAACGGACGATATTATCTCCCTTATTAATGGCAGTTTTTATGTACCTCGTATAAATTGTAATTAAACTCATTACTTTGACTTTCGAGGCGAATATTTAGGGAGATTTATCAATGTTGAACATAATGTTCCACCAAGATATTTCAACGGAGCGTTAGCGACGAGATAACGGCAATTATTGCCGATTTCGCTATGGAATGCTCAGACAGGTTAGATTAATCATAATTAGATAGCTCGGGATTCCATTTTTAATTCGCATGGAGTTTTTCACGAAGAAATTATGCACCGTTGAGGTGAAACTTTGGACAATTCGCACCCGGACATTTCGCACCAAGGAAAATTCGCACCAAAGATATTTCGCACCAAAGATATTTCGCACCCGGACGTTTCGCTCGCTCCCGGACAATTCGCACCTGGATAATTCGCACCGGAATAATTCGCACCAGAATTTCGCGAGGGGGTATTTTGTGTACGGTTGACTTTTAACATAGAAAGTCGGTTGTGAAGTATTAAATTAACTCAGAGCTTGAAATCTCCAATATTACTCACCAATATCACGTTTTATTACTTTGTGCATGTAATAGACGTATACCTACATTTAAAATTTGGATACTTTCAATATTAACATATAATTTGGAATCGTGACGTCCATTTTGTGTTCAAACTCTAAATGGGATAATTTATTAATATTGAATAAAAGTTCCCTAAACCGTTCCCATATAATTTAATAAAACGAAGTGATACACTACATGTTTCGACCAACGGTCATCTTCAGGTGATCTACAACATGGTAGAGATAATTGAGGAGAGACTATAGCTATAAGACTTGCAATAGATGGAAAACAATTAAAAACCCAAAACGGCAGTAAAACTGGAAAGGCCAACGACCATATCCGTGGTTGGTTCCAGAGTAAAATTGAAATTTGAAGAGGTTGATAAACTAAATTTTTTGCAGGGGAGGGCCGAACCTAAAAACTAACATTAGACGACGGTATAAGCAACGATGAAACTTACGTATAAAAAAGTCAAAAGGTCAAAAGGCGATATCCTAACTAATAAAATACCCAATTAAGGGCTTTGAAACTGGAAACCATCTGCACTTCCAAAATCAGTGCTCGGTTTAGCTAATCTTACCTTGTCATCGTTGACCCAGATCCTGGCATTGCATGTTACACTAAGAGCCGATGGATCCTTCTTTGCTCTTCTCGCTCGACACAGCCATGATGAGCAGTTTTGGAGTTTAAAGTTCTTAGCAAAGTGTACATGTATCCTTCATAGATTATGTATCTCTTTCCCCTTTTCGTTGTACCGAAGTCCATTGTTACGCGCTCCGTATAGTTTGCACCGCCTAAATCTCATATCCATTATCAATTTTTTGTAATAAATCAAACTTCAACTTTTAGCCTCAGAGACAAGACAATTTTTGATATTTTCCTTGATTTTGGCATTTTAATGTGGCACTTAAATATTTATGTTGGGTAAACAATAGCATACAATTTGTAGAGGAATAATTTTTTTAATAGTATTTATGAGGCAAGAATTCATACGTACAATCCTATGTCCCTTTTTAAATGGAATGGGCCATATCAAAGCAGTAGAGATTTTAGGTCACTTTAATAACATCCACATCACTCAAAATCTGGAATTTAGGACATATTTTATTGTAATCTCCATATTAAACATGAGAACACTTGCTAAAGGTACCTAGAATGAAAATTAATTTTAAAAAAAACAAAAAAAAAGGTAAAAAGACACTCATCCGTGATGTAAATTGTCCATGCACTCATGTTCACAAGTAGACGGATGCTGCTAAACGCTGGTATCGGTCTATCAGCAAAACTGTCACGTGACATTTCTTAAACCTATTTACCCAGTTTTATTGTACCAATTCACAATCAAGGTTTTTCTCATTTGGAAACCTTTTAGCACGTTCAAATAATATTGCAATAGGAATATAAAAGTCTAAATAAAATTTTAACAATTAGGTATTATTTGTTAATAGCTGCAAGTTAAGTTTCCTAGTTCTCTAACCTTCGATGTCGTCCATTTAAAGGACACATAACGAATTACGTATGTATTGTCTTAAAAGAATCTCAAGTAAATTATAATCATATTTGAACGTAAAACAAATAGATTCTTGAGAGTTCGTAAAATTAAAGAGATAAGAACTGTAAAGTAACGAAAAAAGCAAAAAATGTTGATAAATATCGTGAAAAAAATTGATCTTGCTATAAATTATATGGCTATTATTTAAATAATATACTAAAATTGTGAAGATCCATGACTCTCAATGGGGTGCTTAAGAAGCTTCGGAGAAATAACACCAAAATCTACCCATTTATTATTATAACAATTTTTATGGGGAGATTTTGGTGTTATTTTCTCCGAAGCTAAATAATATACGGTGGTGCATTAGAAACCATACATAGCTATTTCTGTAAATTAAAATAATTTTCAAAAAACGCTTTGGCCCGTCAAATTGATCAGTGTCTAAAATAAAACTTGCTCACTAATGTCTTTGTCTCGCATCGCTGACAGTGCAACCCT